AGTAGGAGGAGGAGGAGGAGGAGGAGGAGGAGCAGGAGCAGGAGCAGGAGCAGGAGCAGGAGCAGGAGCAGGAGAAGGAGCATGAGCAGGCGGAGGAGGAGGAGGAAGAGGAGGAGGAGGAGGACGGGGAGGAGGAGGAGGAGGAGGAGGAAGAGGACGGGGAGGAAGAGACGGAGGAGGAGGAGGAAGAGGAGGAGGAGGAGGAGGACGGGGAAGAGCTGGATCACGCCTGAAGGAATCGGGAAGAGGACCACAGTGCTCTCCGAGCTTGCAACAACAAGGACAGCAGGGCGAGAGACATGATGAGCCGTGTAGGGCTGGTTTCCAGCATTTTTTGTGTCAGCGTGGATCTCGGCGGTAACAGGGGAGTTTGCACTGTCAATTCATGTAATGCCGATCCCTGGCTCCCCCATGCTTGCGCTCTCTGTGCCGGCTAGCCCCGCGGCTGCCCCCGCACCCCCTGCAGCTCCTTCACCCTTGAGGGCGACTTCCTGCTGCCTTTCCTGCTCCTCCCATGCATCCTGCTACTCCACCTCTGCGCCCAGGAGCCCTCGACACCTCTGTTTACTTCAGGGCTGGGCCTGGGCATGTGGGCGGCAGGCAGAGTTTCCTCAGAGCTGTGTGTGTGTGTGTGTGTGTGTGTGTGTGTGTATGTGTTTGCTTGGTTGCTTGCTTGTTCGTTCGTTTGTTTTTTTACCAGCCATCCTGTGGTGTTGGGTCCTCGTTTTGAAGAGACAGCGCTCCGCGTCACTCCTTCCTTCCTTCCTTCCTTATTTCCTTCCTTCCTTCCTTCCTTCCTCCCTCCTCCCCCTCCTCCTCCCTCCTCTCATCTCTGCCTCTGCTCTCCGCATCAGTCGACCGCTTCGGCACAGCCCTTACAAGTTTCGTGGCCCCATAGGGAGCTCCGCCTAAGGCCACAGTGGCGCAGCCCGCATGTGGGCGACACCACTGCTTCGGCACACCCCTCACACGCTTCGTGGCTCCATAGGGACCTCCATCCAAGGCCGCAGTGGCGCAGCCCGCAGGTGGGCGACACGCCTGTTTCGGCGCACCCCTCACACGTTTGGTGGCCCCGTAGGGAGCTCCACCGAAGGTCCCAGGGCTGCAGTTCGCATGTGGGCGTCACGCCTGTTTCGGCACACCCTTCACACGTTTCGTGGCCCCGTAGGGAGCTCCAGAGACGGTCCCAGTGTTGCAGTTCGCTTGTGGGCGTCACGCCCGTTTCGGCACACCTCTCACTCGTTTTATGGCCCCTATAAGGGGGCACTGCCTGAGGCCCCAGTGGCAGCGCTCACATGGCGGCCCCGCCCCAGATCGACACGCCCTTCACACGCCTCGTGGCCCCATAAGGAGAAGGCGATACCTACAACGATGGTGCTCGCAACTGCAGATGGTTGGGTATTTCGCTCGGATAACCGTCTGTTTGTGCTTGTGCGTGTGAAGCAGAGGGGCTTAGGGGGGGGGTAGGTCGCAGGGGGACGGGATGTCAAGGTCGGGGATGGGATAGATGGGGCTAGTAGACAAGGGAGTGAGGGAGGGGAGGGGAGGAGGAGGAGGGCATGGAAAGCGGATGGGAAGGGAGGTAGGAGGGCGAGGCGAGGGGACATGCGGGGCGGATGGGAGGGAGGAGGAGGAGGAGGAGGAGGAGGAGGAGGAGGAGGAGGAGGAGGAGGGAGGAGGAGGAGGAGGAGGGGGAGGAGGAGGAGAAGGAAGAGGGAGGAGGAGGAGGAGGAGGAGGAGGAGGAGGAGAAGGAAGAGGAGGAGGAGGATGAGGAGGAAGAGGAGGAGGAGGAGGAGGAGGAGGAATAGAAGGAGGAGGAGGAGGAGGAGAAGGAAGAGGAGGAGGAGGAGGATGAGGAGGAAGAGGAGGAAGAGGAGGAGGAGGAGGAGGAGGAGGAGGAGGAGGAGGAGGAGGAGGAGGAGCTGGAGGAGGAGGAGGAGGAGGACAGGAAGGGAGTTTCTCTTGGCGAGGGGCGGGGATATGGGAGGGCAGGTGGAGGGAGATCCAGCGACCGTGACTGTCATGACGAAGACGGCAGCGGACGTGGCCGAAGCGACGACAAGGAGGAGGACGACGACGACGAGGCTGACGACGACGACGACGATGAGCACGACTGGGATGGCCACTCAGACGAGGAGCGCCGGTGACGGGGATGACGGGGATGGCGGGCCAGCGAGGATGGCGGGGATGATGTGTATGGTTGTGATGATGGTGATGATGATGGTGATGGTGGTGGGGGAGCAGGAGGTTGATGAGGATGACCCTGGTGATGAGGATGACGACTACGATGATGACGATGATGGCCGTGGTGATGCTGATGATAGGGTGGACGCTCTTCACCCACTCTTTGAGCTCTACGGCATGAATGCTCTGCCCTTCACGCGGCCCCCACGGCTGCACTTGACGAGGGGACCTGGAGGGGTTTCTGTGCCGTTGTCCACAAACCCTCCTCTCCCCTCCTCTTCTTTGTCCTCCTCCTCCTCCTCCTCCTTCTCCTCCTCCTTCCGTAGCCATTTTGGCTCAAGCGTGCCAGCGCACGCGCGAGCGGGCATCCTCACTCTCGAGGCTTTCTGGTGCGTCAGGCGCCAGCGGACATACCTTTACCCAGTAATTCCTAACCCTTAGATAAAACGAAACGCACAGTGCACGCGCGATGGCCGCCCGCGGTCGTGGCGGTGCTGATTCTGCTGCTGTCTCTGACGAGGAAGCGGCTCGCGACCCCAACGAGAAGAGCCGCAGCGGGGAACGTGCCCGAGGCCGGCGGCCCCGCGCTGAGGCCAAACAGGATCCTCTGGCCGAGCGGGATCCTTGGAGCGGAATGGCTGCCCAGCGTGGCCGGCCCTCCGGGGAGCCCCCTGGCCCCGCCGCGGGAGGGTCCTCAGGGAGCGCTGGCGCTGTGGTTCAAAAGCACATGGACGCCCTCTCGGAGAAAATCCGCGAGTACATGGCTGAGCAGTTTACCACCGCTATGGACTCGGTTCGCGAGGAGCTCGACGCAATGGTCGAAGATAAACTTGCTCCCCAAGCTGCCAGGCTCGAGGAACATGCTACTGAGATTGCTCAGATCAAGGAAAAGAACGCAAACCTGGAGAAGGAGCAAGCGGGGCTGCAGGCCGCGGTCAAGGAGCTGCAGACCACGCTGGCGGTGGCGGAGGCGCAGGTTGCGGCGCCGCTGGGCCCAGCACGCCTTGCCGATTGGAACAGGACGGCTGACCCTGCCCTCTTCGTCCTCTCCTGTCAGGCCCCCGCCGCACCAGGAGAGGTCAAGTCCGCCATTTCGCAATGGCTCCAGGCCGCCAAGGTCACCGAGGACCAGGTCACGCTCCTCGGCGACCTCCCGTCGAAACGTTTCCACCTCCACTGCCCTGGTGGCGCTGCGGGCGTTGCCCGCGCTGGGGCACTCCAGGCTGCGCTCAAGCTACCAGGCGGACAATGGCGTCGATTTGACGTGCTCTCGGTCAACGGCCAGCGCGTCACCATGTACACGAATGCCGACAAGAGCGCGAAGGACATCCGTAAGGAGGTGCAGACGAAGAAACTCTTGGGCCTCATCAGGGCTGCGGTGCCTAGCAAGGACTGCTGGGCGCGCCGACCGAAGGGCCTTGTCTACGTGGACTCTGTGCCGATCGTGGAGGTGCAGGTGCGTGGCCCCGACGAGGCCTCCCGACT